TCATATGATAATGTTTACATATGACGTCATAAACACTGGAATTCTGGTAGCGGTGATTTATAATACACCATAGAGAACACATGACTGTTCTACGTAGATAGAATGTAATAATAACATTCAGAATATGCTGCCAAAGATAGTACACTATTAGAACAAACAATGATGGCGACAGTCATTGTGATGTTTTGTTCAAAATTTCAAATTCCTTAGCTCCAATGTACTAGTAAGTCGATTTCCCGAGAGCGCCCTCGCCGACTCGTTTGCAAGTAACAATTGGATAACATGACAAGACAATATTCCATGGTTCTGCCTTACTCAATGTACCTTTATTGCGATTTTACAAAAAAAGAGAAAAAAACAGAACATTGAAGACAAAACTGGACAAAACTATATATATTATACATTTAAAATGTGATTATAACTCTATTACATAAGATCAATATTTCAGTTTCTGTCGCCAAGAACACGGCTATAAGTGAAACTCTGCATTTATTTTTACAATACTTAACAAAATAGTTTCCAAAACTTGTGGAATCTGTATCTACAGCTATTTTGATGTTGCCTATTACATTACACATATAAACACGTGATTAATTTGCATCTCATCTAAATAATGGGCACGTGACAAAGAACATATTATATACGCATTCATATGGTCGATGACATCTCCATCATCGAAAAGGGATATGAGGTGTGGCCAGTATGCAAATCTGCATTATGCAAATTAACGATGTACGATGAACTAGCTTGATTCAGAGATCGAAAGTAAACGGTTTCACCCATTTTGATTGGACGGTGCGTGCTGCAAAGTTCATCAGGAGTAACACGACGCTTGTGCATAATTTATGCGCATAACTAGTGAACCCATATGGGTTGTTACTTCGAACATACCGCCACCCTCGCAATATTGACTTGTACAAAAAAATGTGAAACATCAAAACGTTTTTGAAAATAATTATTATACTGCAAAACAAATCTATGACAACGGACATGGGTATACATTGATCAATTCAAACAATAATGTAGCTACGTACACTGTACAATAACTTTATTTATTGTCATGACCTTCTATAGAACATGGCTGTATTTTGTACCAGACGTTCACGGGATAACGTGATTTGACAACAATCAGTTTAAATATCTCTAAGAAAAAATAGAAATCACCAGTACTGATTTCAACTTCGACCCAGAATATTTCGAAAATTACAATTTGTCGAAGTTCCCATGCAAATATGGAAACCCGATCTATCTCAATAATCAACGTACTTCATGTACTACCGTAGTCCATAAAACAATTGGTGCGATCTCGCAATGCCTCGCAATGAATTACAATGTGCCTCTATATACAGAGGTAGTATCAACGCTTTGTCACATGACTTTACAAACATATCTCGTTATATCGCGGATGTATTGGAACGGAGATCGTGCATCGCTCGAATTGGCTCACAGGCCACGGTAGGTCTATGTTCCTTATTTGGTAATTCCTAACAAGGAAGGCTTGGTGACATAATTGTACAACAGATTACACAGTCATTGAACGTATGCGCAATACAGATACACATTTTTCTATTTGCAAACGATTATAATAATATTATCTAGTCTAAATACCCATATTTATGTACACTGTAAATTCATAACAAGGGCAAATAATTACAGCAAATTTAAAATGTGTAATATGAATAATAGAGTTTTTGCAATTGCATTCCTCGAACTTTACTCATTGTATTACTATACATATGTCACAAAAATAATATATACACACCAATGAACTGGCCAATGACTGTGGACTCATGGCGTGTCGAAACCGACAGGCCCATCCTAGAAACGTACATACATAAATATCTACCTATAAATAATATATACACATATATAACTGATCAATAACTTGCGCGACATGTTCCACCATTCTCCTTCCCAGAGTTCCTCGCGGTTAGAGCACCGAATATATAATAGAAATAGAACTCTGCGTTCGGGATTGATTTACCACGTGACAGACACACACGACAGTATCACATTCTCACTACAACTTAAAGCGGGGGAGTCGTCACCTGCGCATGCGTCAGATGGCCATAGCGTGTCATTGTTTACAAACAAGCCCATGAGCCTTTGCGTTTTTAGCGTGTGTTATTATCGTCGCTTGAGACTCAATTCCCGCGCGTGCGCAGGTGATGACCTTCCCGCTTTAATGTATAGTGGTAAAGTGTAGGGACGGCGGAAAAGAAACATGTTATGAGAAGAAAATCACACATGCTCAGATAATCGTTATTACACGCAACTAGATCTATGTGCAAATCTTTGTTTGCTTTGATAATATATTTTCAAGAAGCATCGTATTAAGTTATTCCACGGTTGACTACTTGCACAAGATGAGGGGAGTAAGAAAGTGTGACCCAAAATGCATATAAATCGAAGTGTGGGACATATTTCTGAATGGAAAACAGCCAAATATAGTACTCTCGGCGCATCAAATGCATTATCTTTAGCTTTATAAATATTTATAAATGTTATAATTCCCACTGAAAAGGAGAGGTTTCTATTGGCAGAGTGAAGAACGTTTTCAAATACCGTTGTTGCACGCGTTGCTCGTTGATTGGCTGGTTGGACTAAACTGCTATTGAAGTCTATAAATATATATAAAGATGATGGGAATACCTTTGTTGCGCTGAGTGTATGGAATCTCATAAGATTATACTACTAGTTAATGACCGCTCAGCACACCTTTCGTTTTCTGGGGGTTCTGTGCTCAGTAGTTTCATATGTTGAACGGAAATAGGCGCCATAATTTCTGCCCGAAATAAACAAACAAGGATTTCTTCTATTGGTACTCAGTGCTAGGACTTGATGGCCAACCAGGGACAGCGCCCTCTATGGCGTCTCCCTTTGCTGTAATACAACAGATTTCTTTCTTTATATTTTACGTATTTTTAACAGTGTGTGTGTGTGTGTATTTCAGAAATATATATTAACAAGGTTGACTTCGTTTATGGTTCAGCTGTCTGTTGGTTCTGGTATCCCTCTTGTTCTGGTTCAAGTGGAACCTTCTCTGTGTCAGCGTGTGCAGGTATCACACTGGATTCCGTCGTCATCTGGTAAAGCAAACAAAATAACATGTCATTATAATGTCTGTGCGTCCTGTTTTGTTCTTTTTCGCCGAACGTTTTCAAAATGTTACCAGTTTGCCAGTCTATGCCTGATTTGGGTATTCAAGTAAATTAATGTATAATATGTTAAATATTCGAGCTGCAGCCTAACCAACCTGGTCGAAATTCGACGTAAGTATGACATCTGGACGTTTGTAAAACTCAAACTGCATTGCATGCGACAGGAAAGAGAGCGGCGCCACTGTCCCTCGACGGATTGTAGCCTGATGCATGTCCGAATGAAACCAGTAACGTAAAACGCGATTGGTCTACAATCGGTTATGTTCATTTATGTTATTGGAGTGCCGGGCGGTGCATATCTGCACTTCCTGTGAAATACTCCCCCATGAATACATTCGCACATTCTTTTCTTGGAAGGGAATACACTGTTTGAGTAATTTTATCGAAATAATGCCAACGACTTGTTGTCATTGGTCGCGATTTTAGAGCCACGAAGTACGAATAGAATAATTAGACGGATGACAAGTTTATTTGGCGTTATGTGCGTGTCACCAATGGGGATTGCATGTAAATTAAAGCATGCAAGGTCGAGGTGTTGTGTGTACTTGCTCTTACCTGTGGCATCGTATTGTCAAGTATTAGTGTATCTTTGCCATCCTTCGTCACCCTGCTGATGTCGCTACACCTGGTGGCAAGATTACTATTCCATATACCATACCCAAAGTATATAACAAAACCTGAAAATTAAAATGATATTTGTCAGGCACGAGTCTAGAACACAAATCTTGGAATTGTAGATATTTGGAAGAACCAAAGTTCATAAATTTTGCTCTGTTACTTTTAATTGGTACATTAAGCACCGCAACGCAACAATATTGTTAGCCGTTGGTGGCTGGTCGAACAATTATTTGCACCCAAAGCACATTAGTGGACAAATACAAAATGTTAGATATGGTTATTACAAGTTGTTTTGTTTTTTAAATAAAACAGTTGAAGAGTCCAATTCGTTGTGCAACACGTATTCGAATTTCGTATTTAATTTTACAACCGCTGTATACGTTCTATGGGCCCATACGATGACTGTGGCATGCAGTATAATGGAGTGGTAGTGAAGGAACATTCGGGATTACTCCAATACTTGGCATTTGTAGTAAATTTGTAATTGCCAGCGAAAAAATACATCTTATATTAAACGGGTCCATGGAGATATAAACAACGGCCAAATTAAAGGGTGGTGGTCGTCGCACCGCGTCCTGTTCGATATGGGACCCTTAGCGACGTACACAACGCGTGCAAAATACATTGGTTGAAGAACGCCGCCCTTTAAGATCACTCACCTACAATAAGCCAAATGGCGAAACGTATCCACGTCAGGTAAGACAACTTAAGCATTAAGTAAATATTTATAAACATGGCTACAATTGGTAGAAATGGCACACAAGGGGCCATGAACTTTAATCTCTCCGGATTCTGTGGCTGTTGGTAAATCTTCAATATACAGAAGAAGATTAAACCTAAGAAGATGATAACTAAGATAATAAGCCAGGCGTTGCCACTCTGGAGGTATGAACGACCGTAAATTACCAGTGAGCTAAACACAAATATGACAGCGAAGAGAAACAACGTTAGATAGGTGACCAGTTTGCCACTGTGGGCCGTAGGTAGCTGACTCTTGTCGGGCAAACCGATGAGATTGCGGCCCTGGTGGTACGATTTATAGGCCCCCTCGCGCAGGCGGGAGAGCGTGAAGTTTGCTTCGTTGTATGTTTTGAAATTGTCCGGTTCTGGTTCAACAGCACCGTAGCGCATCTTCGGAGCTTCGTCCTGCTCCGAGTCGGTTTTAGGGATCAGTTTCTCTGGCCCAGCTTCCTTCAGCACGGATTCCTCCCCGGCATACATTGCAGCTTGGGCTTCTTTTTTCTGCCGGGCGAGGGCGTCTTCCTCTTCTTCTTCAACAATATCGTATTCCGAGGTGGTCTGAAGCGCGAAGCCGCTGTCCACGTGCGGTTGATAACGTAAAATGAGAACACACATGGATACAATTGTATACGCAAGCAAAGTTCCGATGGACATCATTTCAATTAAATCTTGCAGTCCAATTAATAAGGCCATTATAGCAGCGATAAAGCCTGATATAATTGTTGCAATTGCCGGTGTTTTGGTGACGTCATTGATACGACTCATAAATCTGAAGAAAACAATAATAGAGACACGTCTAATTACACATGAAATAATATTATACATAATAAAAACAGTTCTTAAATAGATCGCGGGTTGTAGACAGATAGTAACTCCTGGTAAGCGTTTTTACGGGTTTCGCTGTGACATGATGATTTCGTCCAAGTGCGTCATCAAATTCGCCATGTTGGTCAATCTAGTTCGTAGCTAGAAGTGTTATATTCAATGAAATAGTCGAAATTGGAAGATAAATAGTGTATTGAACATTGTACTCCTATTCAATCTAAATTGACACAACATACTCATACGTCAGTCAGTCGTGTTGCTATATGTATATATTTCAAGGGTCCTACCTGAAAAGGAGTCCATCGGAAGACATGGCGTACATAACTCGAGGCATTGGAAACAGTGAGCCTAACAGACTGACAGTAAGACCGCAAATAGCACCAATGGCGACCACATACTTGGCAGAGTAAGCATCATTCTGTACAAACATCTCCAGAAGCGGCGATTCCGGGCTGATATCGTAGTAAGGTACCATCAACGTTAAAATAATACTGACAGAGACGTATGCTGTTAGGCAGATCAATAGTGATAATACTATGGCAATCGGGATGGATTTGCTCGGTTGTCTGGCTTCTTCACCAGTTGTAGCGATGATATCAAATCCAATAAATGCATAAAAACACGTGGCAGCTCCAGTAATTACCTACAAATATGAAAAATAAACTTAAATAATTTTAAACATTGCTTAAATTTCCACAGTGGTTGCATCGCATTCAGTCCAAAGTGGGTCCCATACGACGCACAGAACGCGTGGAAATACATTGCGTGTTTACACAAAAATCGGACTTTCGATACAAGACGACTGACTGTGACACGCTTCACTGCGACTATGGTTGTACATGATAATGCGATTTATTTCATCAGAAAAAAATAGGGTCAACAAATTTATAAAATTGTATATATAATCTACTACTGCCGTTCAATTTAAATTTCTGTTGAAAATGTAAAGATAAATAAGTATGGTTGCTATTGCTCGAAGTAGAATCGCGGATTGGAACTAAAAGACATTCGCATGAAATAAAATGAATCGAAGGATTTCTCAAATATCGAGCAGATATCATTCGTGTTGCGTGTCAAACCATGTTAATTGACTGTGATTTCAATAATCAATTCTATATACACTATTTAATTAGTATGCACAGTAACAACTCAATCTAATTATTTATTTATGTGATGTTTCACGTTTGTCAATTCATCCTATTAATGGGTCAATTCCTCCTGCAATCTAAATTATTCATTCCAGTAGTACGTCATAGTTCATAGTTAATGAATCTCTTGTGTTTGTTCATATATTTTTCCTTCTATGGTGCAGGCGGATGTAGGATGTTAGGGGACGCACACTGACGTCAGTGCAGAATTGCATTGTATGATATGCGTGTATACTAATCATGGATTTAGGGGCGACCCCTTTGGGTCACTAGATTCGTCCATTTCGTGCGTTGCTTAGAATATTAGTGATCTACTCCTTAGCTGGGAGTTACAGATACATTGCCTAACGACAGGATTGGATAATTAAAGCGCTACGGTCGTCGCACCGCGTCCGCGTTCTATATAGAGGACCCATAGCGACGTAAACAACGCGTGGAAGCGAGATGCTGAATTGTTCGAGTTACGAAAACATCGAGTTACAGAAATGACCACGCCCACTTTTGCGAAACCACGCCCACTTTTGCGAAACCACGCCCAAATTGTAACTCGATGTTAACAGGACTTCGAGTTACGATCAACATAGATTTTTTGCTTTGTCGTCGTCGATCGACATATTATTCACTCACCCCAGAAAACCCATATGGCATAAATCCGTCGGTCCAGTTCTCACTTTTCACATAAAATAGACCAGCCACCATGATGAACACCCAGACAGCTACGTTGAGGGCGTTGAGGGCGTTGTTGAAGCCTACTGATTTCTTAACGCCTGCGGTGATTACCAGTGTCATGACGATCACAATGACACAAGCCAGCAGATCTGGGTATGACTTGGCTGTGTGAAGAACAAATGTATATTTACTCTTGCAGGACTCTTTTCATGTTTCATTTTATGCCATGTTTGCGGTACCGGGTGTTGAATGATTTTGGCCGATGTGCCCATACTTGTCATATACCCTCTGCCTGCAATTGACAAGTGTTCATCTAAAAAAATAAACTGAAACCACAGTTCCTCAACACTGTGAGGGACTGTGCTGAAACGTAGAGCGTCTCATTCCGAAACAAACTGCACGACTGCCACCAAGTGTTAGTTCAAGAATATTCAAACATTTTGATATAAAGACAAAAAACAATATTTGCAATTGCAAATATGGAGACTGACATGGAATTTTTTCCGCTGCAAACGTCAACGTGTATTTACATTGCACATATTATATCGAAATATGTCAAATCGAATGTCTTACTGTGAATGCCGAACTGGCCTACATTATCCAACATAAAATGGCTAATTTTGTGATGAACTAGGGAGTCAAAACAGCTGCTCAACGCGCTTGCGCCGGCGGCGGTACCAATTAGATATTCCAAGATGAGGTTCCAGCCAATGATAAAGGCACAGAACTCTCCCACTGTAACGTAACTGTACATATATGCAGAGCCCGTAGTTTTCGGTACACGCACTCCAAACTCAGCATAGCATACACCTGCAAAATACAACATAAATACATATAAGACGTGGAATTATTACAATGAAAGACAGGAAGGCCTTCAAACGTGCACGATGCCATTGGTGATTTACGGGGAATACAACTACTCGTCTTAATGACAGTTGTTTTCAACTGACTGATGTTTTTTTGGGGGCTACATTGTCTTGGAATGGGAAGTTTAAATTTAATTGTAAATAGTTGTTTAAATAGTTTATTTAAAAAGGCTCACAGCGTGTTTTCAGTCACAAGAGGGCGGAACATCTTGAGATAATGAAGACCCTCCAGCACATTATCATTATTATCTTAAGGTGAAATCTACTCGTACGTTATTGACATGTACGCATATTTTCGCGCATATTCCACAGATAATATTTGGTTTCAACAGTATGTGGACTAAATAAATACACTGGCATGTGCTTTGGGAAAAAAAACTGTCGAATAATATGCATGAAATTCCCACTTATCAGCGTTTCCATAGACCATAATGATAAGAGATTTCGTTATGGAAACTGAACCCAACTAATAATATTGTATTTTTGTAATGCATCTATAGACATGAACAAAAACACCGCATACATTATATATAACATTTTCCCCATATGTTACTGACTGGGATTTTGAGATCGACCTTAACATACTAGTATATGGATTATTCACGTTGATCGTAAACAGTGCAGATTACATGGTGTTATCATTAATTTATTTATCAGCCGGCAATTGACCTATGCATGCTTCAGTTATTAATGCGATACGCTCTAAAGTACAACTAAAGACAACGTCAGTTCTAGGTGGAGTCATTGCAGCCGACGCGGACGTAAAGCACGATATACCGTCCCAGTTTCAGCGCTCGGTCACATATGGCGTAATGACGTCGACACATCGTATCATCTTTTTTTTTTATTTGTAAAATACAAGCCTAACTTCAATGTCCAATGTCAGGTCACATGTTTACTCACACAGAGCAGCGACAGAGAACTGACGAGCAATACTGCTCAGCGTATTTTCTTATCTATTTTAATACCGGAGTACAAATTAAACTACCTTGCCGAGTCTACGCACGTCGTTATAATCCAAATGTGAGAAATCATTCCGTTTATTCAAGTGACGATAACATCCAGCCTGTAAGTGATATTGCCAATAATATGCACTAGCCTTTTAATTCGTGGTCTCTTGATTTCTGCGTACTTTCTCTATTTACTCTAGTCACTGTAGCAATCCACTCTTCATCAGCCATGCGGGGGAGGGGGGGGGTACTCGATAATACTTTATTGCAGTACACACTTTGATTCCAATGAAAAGTTCTCAATAGATTTTTCGTTTAATTTCCCGTTTATTGTGAGATCCCGCGTTATGCGTGAAACTTAACGTGAAACAGGTCATAGCGTTGCAGTGACGTCAACTTAAACATCGCGTGGGATTCGACAAAAGTATTTCAAGGTATTCCCACGCTTAATTCGATATGCACATTTGATGACGGTCAATTTTGCTGAAGGATGAGTATCTCGACACAATATTACTCTCTTCAAGGATTGGCATTTCGGCATAATGCTATAAAACAATAAATTTAAATTCAAAATCAAATTGTTCGATTTTGGCGGCAGATGTTCCTTCTGCGACTTTCACGCAGTACTTGAACATCACACAATATTTATCTAAACATTTGACATTGAAGTTCAAAACAAAAATCAATGTTATAATTTTGGAAATTATTGTTGTTATAGGCTTCAATGTCCTAGAAAGTACCAGGATGTGTGACGTACATCTAGGGGAGGTCGCGCATTCACAGTTTTAAACAAGTTTAAAGATTTTTAAACATTGTCGTTGAATACTGTTTTTCGTTAGATGAAAAAAATGCAATTTTCTAACAAGCATGTATTTGGTACATACAACAATCATTGAACATGCGTATTACGATATTTTTTGTCATCGAACGAATACTGAGCTGCAAATTTGGTCTTCAACATTCCATATCAATCATAAATGTTACAAGTTTGTGTTTATGTGTTTAACACCAGTAGACAGACTTTGCTCATCTGACCAGTATTCAAGCAAACAAATTCCTAAAATACAATATGGTTTCAACTCAATCTTTTACCCCCAGTTCATTCGAGTACGCGCCTTACTTGTATTTACCTTAGCTCAAATCAGTTAATTCGTTACAGTAGTCCCGTTCATATCCCAAAAAGCTCAACGGCTTTTTAAATCTGAGTGGTGGCATTGGAATTGACAACACCAAGTACACGAGTAAGATTTTCTCTGACAAGAGTCTGCCGACAAGATTTTTTTTTAATTAAAATACTATCATGCCAATTCATTGTTTTAATTCGTGGGTGACATGAAGGTTAAAAGGTGGCATTAGTGATGATATGGTGCATGTCACACGTATATTGATTGATGTCTTTTGCTGACATATATGAATAATTCATTATCTATGAACGTGCACTGAAACACGGACAAGTCAGTGACGTCATTATTCTCAAACAAACTGTTTGAGCAGTGTCATGTTGTGGAAGAAATAACAGCGTACGCTTGATTTCATCTATGCATTTATTTAATTTAATACTATTCTGCTGATAACCTAATTTCATCCAATCACTTTGTTCGACATGCTTGACACGGCAACTATCAGCGATCGTGACAATAAGATAGGGGGCCTCGTTTACATTTTACTCATACCCCGACACACGCACTCACACAGGTAATCTCAAAAAGAGGTTTACACAAAGTAGCGTAGTGTGTACGACTGTCACGTGCGAAAAACTCAGACACAATACTAGTACTAGCATTTTCTATTGTAGCTGTTTTCTGTGAAAATTTGTTGCTGGTTTGTCATTTCCAAAATGTTGCTCTGTACATTTGTCGCGTGCCACGTACGTAGTACGTGACCAGCGCGTTATTAAATTAACACCTTTTGCGCATGAGCTATAATTTATAAGTAAACACAATCTCACGCTAAAAAAAACGCTGTTTTTGACAAGAAAGCATTGCTATATAAATGGAATGCAGATTAATTCCCGGCACTTACTACGTATTTATGTCTGTCGCGTATTTGGCGTCAGCAACATAACTCTCACCGGAAATTGTCCCAGAAAGACGGGAAGTGGATTTTAGCATTGCATGCTCTACAATGACAATCACATTTGTTACAATAGCTATAGTTTCTGCCTCGATGGACGTCAGAAATTATGTTCAATGTTCAAAATCCCATTGGAGCCCACGTCATCACTGTTCCACAATGTATACTACCGGTGCTATTTTTAGAAAGCTACTAAGATTATTTTTTTTAAAAAGTGCCGTTATAAATAGTTTGACTTATCGGGAAAACGTTTAAGCACATTAAGCTTCCCCGAGGCAAAGTTCCATGACATAATCCTCAGATCAGTACTCTCAGCAAAATTGAACCATGGAAGTCGAAACAAAAGATTTATGAATCCTCAGTAAGTAAATTTTTTAGCTCCCCATGGTATCGGGGGTGATATGAAATTTGATTCGTACTGACGTGGTTAGAATTCGATAAAGAAATTGTGCACGAGGAATGATTTTAAAATGAATGTGCGGGAGGGTCGTCACCTGCGCACGCGCGAGAATTGAGTTCCAAGTAGAGTAGTGTCGTCACAGGAAGCGCTGTCTCAGCACAGAAAAGACGCCGACCTGCAGCGCCAACGCCCAAGTTGTGATAACAACACACAGTAGAACGCAAAGGCTCATGGGTAGACACTTGTTTGTGAACAATAACACGTTATGACCATCTGACGCATGCGCAGGTGACGAATCCCGCGCTTTAAATAAACCGGAAGCAATTACACACGGCTCATGTCAAAGAACTAACATTGCGACAAAAGTAGCACAATTTACACAACAGAAAAATAACATTGTGCAAGACATTTTTACCTCTTCATTAAAGCGCGCGCAGTTAAAGTAACTACGATTAATGAAACACTTTAAAATGAGCTGACGCGCACCAACAGTGATCTTCAACGGATCTTCATATTTATTCATATGTTAGTTATGCTATTAATTATAAATGAAATTTGTAATTGAACACTAATGAATACATATCTTGCGCCAATGCGAGTATGGTTCCGCATCCGGTAAAATATTGAATTGACAGATTAACCTAAGTATTAACCACGAGGTGAACCAAGTAGATCAAATAACAACAATTTGTCAAATTCAAGTATAGAAATAATTTGACACTCATGCATCATGGCAGTCGTTACAACTTCCAGTGTGGCAATTGTGAAGAGATTAGTTGTGAATTTATATGAAAGTTTTTACCAATAACCAAAAACTCTAACGGTGTAAACGCGGGACATAATTTTTATTTTATTTACTCAATATATTGTTTTAGCGCAGCGCAGTGTGTTTTAGGGTATCTACCCGAGACAAACATTCAGCCTTGTCACGTGACTAATGTCAATAAACCACGGCGTTCGATATTGGATTTAATTTGATGCATAATTCTTGCCAAATCACGTGACCAATACAGTGTCCAAATCACATGACCAATACAAATGAACTGTGTTCCATATTGAATGTGATGTGCGCACTTGCCTGGAATGGAGCTGCATAGAATAATTTGGGGATGCAGGTTAACACATCATATTGCGAAAAATTGCAAAACGTCACACACAATTATGCGCCGACGTCGAAGTGTTGTAGTCACGTGCCGCCGCTACACGTCGCTGAGCTTGACACATAGTATGCCAGGGCCAGCATTTAACGGTGTTGTTATTACATCAAAGCTAATTTGGGAGTCGTGCGGTATATATATATATATATATATATATATATATATATATATATATATATATATATATATATATATACACTATGTGTCAGCACTAACACTAGCACTAGCACTTGCAATTTGCACATACAAAAAAAATATATATATATACGATTTCCCCTCGTTTCAAATACGATCAAATGAAGACTTTTGGAAACAAATTGAAAACAATTGATTTTAACAAAGAAATTCAGAAATATGTTAGGAT